GTAGTAAGTAGTAGTAAGTAGTAGTAAGTAGTAGTAAGTAGTAGTAAGTAGTAGTAAGTAGTAGTACGTAGTAGTAATTAGTAGTAGAAGTTCGGCAGAAGTAGCTGAAGAAGGTAGAGAACAGGTAGGAGACAGAGGAGAAGTAGGAGAAGTAGGAGAAGTAGGAGAAGTAGGAGAAGTAGGAGAAGTAGGAGAAGTAGGAGAAGTAGGAGAAGTAGGAGAAGTAGGAGAAGTAGTAGTAGTAGTAGTAGTAGTAGTAGTAGTAGTAGTAGTAGTAGTAACAGTAACAGTAACAGTAGTAGTAGTCGTCGTCGTTGTTGTCGTCGTCGTCGTCGTAGTAGTCGTAGTAGTCGTAGTAGTCGTAGTAGTCGTAGTAGTCGTAGTAGTCGTAGTAGTCGTAGTAGTGGTAGTGGTAGTGGTAGTAGTGGTAGTGGTGGTGGTGGTGGTGGTCGTCGTAGTAGTAGTAGTAGTAGGAGTCGGAGTAGGAGTCCGAGTAGGAGTCGTACGAGTAGTAGTAGGAGTAGGAGTAGGAGTAGGAGTAGGAGTAGTAGTAGTAGTAGTAGTAGTAGGAGTAGTAGTAGTAGTAGTAGTAGTAGTAGTAGTAGTAGTAACCGAAGGAAGTTTAGAAGTCAAACTTCCAACAATATGGACAGATGAAAAGCAGAGATGGGAAGAGTCAGAGAGAAAGAGAAGGAGTAGAAGAGAGAAGATCAGAGAAGAGAAGGAATCAGAAGAAAGAAGATGCAGATGCGCGAAAAGGTAGGAAAGTCGCGAAACACTGTGTTTTTCCAATGATTTGGGGCTCCGGAGGGTCGAAAAGTAGGCTCGCTAAAGCGGCGGGTGCGGAGACATCTGGCCAGATGAGAGATGGAAAAGCGCACGCCGTTGTGGCGAGAAGCACATTTCTAAGCTAAAATGTACAAAACACACCAGCTTCGGAGCACTTTTAGAAGTTGAGATGTCGAAAAAGTGCACGCCGTTGTGGCGCGAAGCACATTTCCAAGTCAAAATGTTAAAAGCACCAGGGGTTCGGACCACTTTTGGAAGTTGAGATGTCGAAAAAGTGCACGCCATTGTGGCGCGAAGCACATTTCCAAGTCAAAATGTTAAAAGCACCAGGGGTTCGGACCACTTTTGGAAGTTGAGATGTCGAAAAAGTGCACGCTGTTGTGGCGCGAAGCACATTTCCAAGTCAAAATGTACAAAACACACCATGTACGGACCACTTTTGGAAGTTGAGATGTCGAAAAAGTGTACGCCGTTGTGGCGCGAAGCACATTTCGAAGTCAAAATGTACAAAACACCACATGTTCGCCCCACTTTTGGAGGTTCAGATGTCGTTTCGCGTGGCAGGGGCAAGGGATTGTGCACCTTGTCAAAAGTGAGCAAAACGTGAGGGTTTTGTAGCATTTCCAAAAACGATGGCAGGCGTGGGACATTTGAAGAGGATCTGGAAAGATGCATTTTCCGTGTCAGCTTGGGGTTTCCAGCGTGGTGTTTGTGGATCTGGATGCCAATGTTGGGAGGATTTGACTGGGGGTTTTGAAGGTGGATGTGAGTAGGCTGTAATGGGTTTCTCAATAGGTGGAGCTGCATGAAGATGTACACGTTGACAAGAATTTTCCTGACAATGTTGACGAGACCCGGACCGAAGGCGCAAAGGTCGTTGGCTTCGAGGGCGATAAGATGGGGATCTCGATGAACGATGACGACGACGAGAGGCAGATCGTGGAAGGTGCCTGGAAGGCGACTTGGACCTGCGGGTCTTGACCCTACGAGGGCTGCGACGTCTTGACATTGAGTGCTTGTCAATGACTGGTGAATGTTGCACAAACTTCCTGGACCTGGAAGTGACACCACAAGACTCATAGCTGGATTGATCGGAAGATCTGCGTGGGAGAGGAGAGCGATGTGAAGAAGCTGGAATGGCATGTTGAACAAGTGGGTTGGATCGGGCCTCTGGAGTTGGGATCTGTGGTGGTTGCATGGGAGGAGCTGATTTGGCAGTGGTAGATTTGGGTTTTGGACGATTAATGGGCAACTGCTCATCATCGCTTTGTTGATTTCCTGCTTGAGGCCTTCTTGAATACGATTTAACATCTCTGAGCAATCCATGAGTCGTTGAAGGTGGAGCAGTTGAAGGTGGATGTTCCATAGGAGTTGGCTGTGGAGGTAAAGGTATAGGTGGATTTGGCGAAGCCTGGTGGAAGTGTGGATGAGGTGAAGTTGGCTGAAGAGGCAGGTGGAGCAATTGTTGACTCAGAAGAGCGTTCTGTTATTCTGAGCTTGGGGCTGGGCCTGTTGCTGAACTTGATTTGCACGATGTTGCACAGTAGGATCACATCCGCTCAGAAAACCTCCAATGCCGAGGAAGACCCGCGCTTGCCATGGGATTCAACAGTGACGGAATGCCAGGATCCATCGTTGTTGTTGCCTTTGGAGTAGTCCATGGGCGAGCATTCCAAGAAAAGGGAAACATGGTTGTTAGGCAGGGATGGTGATCAGGAAGCAGTTCGAAATTCCGAAAAGTTTCAACAGTTCGAAATCAATGATGCATCCACAATCATGTGCAAATTTCAAGATCAGGCACGAGGCCCTCTGTGGTCAGGTCGAACCCTCTGAACGGCTATCAGTAGTCTGCAGCTGAATTAAGTGCACAACTAAACCTCACCAACGACCATCAAGAGAAAGAAATCGCCATACCTGAAGGCATGTACCTGCCTGAAATCATCGGCATGTTGCAATGACAGCGGTCTGTCTCTTGAGCAAAGTTGAAAAAGGAGGTTTCACAGCTTCTCGCAGAACGGCAAGGCACGGGGAGTCCCCAAGATAGTGAGCAGCTGTTCAACAAACCGACATTCGACAGGTGAGACCCGAAAAGGGCCATCTGCTACACTTTACTTAGACGAATTAAGAAATTGAAAATTGTAGATTCAGTCAAATCAAGGCTCCCAATTCCTACCTAGAAAAGTATTTCCCGAAGAGCTCATGTCATGCTGTCGAATCCGACATGAGTCACACACTATATTGTCTTATCGAATTGTGATGTGGAATGCATCTCACGTGCAAAAACACTCCAGTAAGCCTGATCAGAGTGGAAGGAAAGTGGAAATTGGAAGCTGACCCTTCCCTGTTGAGTTGCCATGAACATCAAACCAATAACAAATTCAAAGTCCAAGCTACCATCGCCATAGCTAAGAAGTTAAATTGTCGGACAAATACCAGGTACTCAAATGTTGAAATGATGCCGAAGGAAGTCTCAGATTGCGACAACCCGTGTAGAAATGAGATCCAACTGTGCGGTTCTTGGCTTGGCCGCTTGCCATACGGACTGAAATCAAAATTGGTCGCAGGTACGTAGAGTCGATCAGACTCCATATCGCCACGAGCTGACAGTGCCTTCGTTGGGCAGTGTCTGTCAGTCGTGGACTGTCCTGCCTGCTTTTCAAGATTGAAATTGAAATTCGAAATAACCAAGTATCAAAGAACCGAGAAATCAAAGAACCAAATATCAATTTCAACACAGTCAGCCTGAAAGGACCTGAGCAAATCAGCATGATTTCCTTATAATGCCTTATAATGCCTAAACTGGAAATCTGGACTCGTCGACTCGTACCCTTCAATTGTGGCAATCACCTGCGTGCTGTATTTCTGCACAAACAACATCAAACAACATTGACAAAGCGGAACCAAAGCGTAGTTGTGCATGGTTGTGTGCCTCTCATCACATGCGCAAATTATGATAAGTTCATACAGGACAAACAAACACATTGAGATTAGATCTGGTCTTGATTCCACCGCACCTTCAATACCGGCTGAGGCGAAGCTGCACCTCCGCCTTGGCATCTGACCACTGTACGCTCTCCTTCCAACCTCTCCAAACATTTCCACAACTTTTCCACAACACACAATATCTCTCAGTGTGTGGGTGACTGGAACCTCATGAGTGTGGTTAGTGGTTCACGCCCTTTTGTCATATTTCTTCCCATAGCACAAATGTTTACTGTAGTAACTAATCTTCTTTGGCTCTTCGCTCTCAAAGACCTCAAGCTACACTTGACAGCCAACGCCACCAAGGAATATATCATGACAAGATGTAACTTTTCCGTACCAATTCCACTTTTCATTCCAAGCTCCAAGGGCCAGGTATAGTTGACACTTGGAGCAGGTGTAAGAGGCTCTGCAGAATCGAATTTGAAACCTGCTAAGTGTGAGAAACCTTGGCACGTTTCGGTACACCTCAAATCTTTACATCCAGATGCCCTGAGATGCACCCAAAAGGTCCCAAAAGAACTTAAGAGTTGATTCTTAGGACATGGCAGCGAGAGCAAAGCTCAAGTTTTGAATTACTGTACTTCCTACTCGAGTGTGAAGTCACGATGAACGGTCATGTCACAATGTAAGCTTTCCACATCTTCCCAGAAGCTCAATGTTTGACAAAACATACAGGTCTCCGCAGCTTTCTACAGCTAGTCTGCGATGTTGACTTCAACCTCGAGTATGTGGCCACTTATATACAGTACAGTGCAAATAGATGCAAAAAGCATCAAATAGCAGCAAATTGAGCATCAGAATCTTTATTTACAAGCTGCCACAAACTGTAACCAAACGTGAACCGACTGACGGCTCCTGATGATCCGTGAGAATCCTGCAGGATCCCTCAGGCCATCTGAGGCTTAATTAAGAGATATCAAGAGTTTCGTTTTAAGACATTGGAGAGCTATTGGAGAGTCATTGGATGTCAGAGTGTGGAAGTCCCCCCTCGGCCCTTCGGCTTCTCCACAAAGCTGAAGCCAATTCTGAGCCTGCACAGCAATGCAAGCAGGAGCACGTTGATGCGGCGAAGCCAAGGGCTTCACGAAAATGTTTCGAAACAATTCCGAACGAAATGAACAAAAATCAATCAATGATCAATCATTGATCATTTAGACGCAGGCACACACACGGACACACACACACACGTACGTGTGTTGTCACTCAGCCTTGCAGTCCATAGCGATCTAAGGCCCACCGGTAGCACGCCGAGTCTTTGAACTGCATCCAGAGAGGTTCTGTTCATGGCAAAGCATGGCAATGTCGTCGGCACCAAGCAGGCTTCCGGCATCTGGCCAGGAGATCTTTGATCTCTGCACTTGCCTTCGAACATCTGCGATCACTGGCCAACATGTATATATTTATATATATAATGATATATATATAATTATTTATATATGTCAGTTATATGTCAACATGTGGGAAGCAGCTCAATACACCGTTCTAAAATAAAGAGCCCAGCGACAAATCATCGCCCTTCTGGAGGTCTTCATGTTAATGGGACTCACAGCTTTTTACATATTCAAGATCCCACATGGCAATTGAACCTCTTCATTGTTCACAAGATGTGACACTAATTGCAAAACATGGGAGAACATTCGCAATGTACCTAAATTACGGAAAATATCATAAACACACACTAAAGGACTTGGACACCACGTTTACTTCGGGACACGAAAACTGAGTGTCATTTGCCTTGCAGGAGATCAGATACATGATATCTTTGGGCAGCAGTCTTAGACTTTGTCAAACACATTCCTGCAGGGTATCAACAAAAATGAAAAAGAATGCAAAACTGAGTAGTCGTCGCGGAACCAGCAGTCAATATACTTCGAACGGTAATGCCTGCGATATCAAACATTTTCAGTTTTCACATTTTAAGTGGTTTTACATGTATGTAATTGACTCCCCGGTTTCCCTCTTGGTATGGGGCCTTTCCGCCAGACTCGACTGACACACCTTACAGTAGGGGGTGCCCGTCAGTTTTTGCCGAGTTTTCACTCCTCGAGACACTTTGTCGGATTAGAAGACAGTCTCATTGAACTAGCTAGTGACATAATAATATACAGTATGGGAGGGGCTTGTTGCAGAATATGAAGTGTATAATGTTGCAGACTACGAAATGTGTCTACCACAGAAGTAACACTCCCTTATCTATGTTTGAAGGTAACACCATTTCTTTATAGGAGAACAATGTCACACTTCTTTCAAAAAACCTAACTATCCTGTATTTGGCAAGCAGCACCATTTCTTTGAAAAGTCCTTGTCCTTTCCTTTGGAAATGCATCCCATTCATTTGAAGGAAAGGCTTCACTCACCAAAAAGAAAATCATCTCAAAAAGCGTCTCAGTTGCCCTTTATATCCTTTATGTTTGAAAGTAACACCATTTTTTGAAAAGAATGTGATACTCCTTTTCAAGGAGCTCAATTGTCGTCTATTTAGAAAGGAACACCAGTGAATGGGAGGAAATGCATCACTCACAGAATTCCACATCCCGAAAGGATTCATCTCTAAAATTAAAGGACCGGATAACCCCACAAGTCAACTTCTTCTAATAATGAGCTTCAAAGGTTGTAGCGGGGACGGGGAAGGAAGGAAAGACAAAGGAGGTGGTGAAGGATCGAGAAGTTAAAACAGTTGTGTGTGACAAAGTGGCATGTGAAAGACGGTGAGTGACAAAGCAAGAAGGTATGTGAAAAGATAGTATGTATGCATGCAATGCAATGCAATGCAATGCAATGTATGGTATGGGTATGGGTATGGGTATGGGTATGGGTATGGGTATGGGTATGGGTATGTATGTGTATGTATGTATGTATGTGTGTATGTGTGTATGTGTGTAAGTGTGTACGTGTGTATCTGTATGACAAAGTTGAGTGTGAAAGATGGTGTGTGTGAAAGTGACGTGAGTGCGCGACAGTGCAGATGTGAGTTTGTGCCACGCCTGCCACGCAAAACGACTGTAGATGTGAGTTTGTGCCACACCTGCCACGCAAAGTGCCACGGCGTCACGGGCGACCAAATCAGACCAAGCGCGCCACCCACTGCCATCAGTGCCACGCCTGCAGGGCCTGCCGCGCAAAACGATGGTAGATGTGAGTTTGTGCCACGACTGCCACGCAAAACGACGGTAGATGTGAGTTTGTGCCACACCTGCCACGCAAAGTGCCTCAGATGTGAGTTTGTGCCACGCCTGCCACGCAAAACGATGGTAGATGTGAGTTTGTGCTACGCCTGCCACGCAAAGTGCCGCGGCGTCACAGGCGACCAAATCAGACCAAGCGCGCCAGTACCATCAGTGCCACGCCTGCCACGCAAAACGATAGTAGATGTGAATTTGTGCCACGCCTGCCACGCAAACCGATGGTAGATGTGAATTTGTGCCACGCCTGCCACGCAAAGTGCCGCGGCCTCACGGGCGACCAAATCAGACCAAGCGCGCCACCCAGTGCCATCAGTGCCACGCCTGCCACGCAAAACGAACGTGGATGTTAGTTTGTGCCACGCCTGCGATGCAAAGTGCCGCGGCGTCACGGGCGACCAAATCAGACCAAGCGCGCCACCCACGGCCATCAGCGCCACGGCTGCCACGCAAAACGACGGTAAATATGAGTTTGTGCCACACCTGCCACGCAAAGTGCCGCAGATGTGAGTTTGTGCCACGCACAACGACTGTAGATGTGAGTTTGTGCCACGCCTGCCACGCAAAGTGCCACGGCGTCACGGGCGACCAAATCAGACCAAAGCGCACCACCCACTGCCATCAGTGCCATGCCTGCCACGCAAAACGATGGTAGATGTGAGTTTGTGCCACGACTGCCACACAAAGCGACGGTAGATGAGAGCTTGTGCCACACCTGCCACGCAAAGCGCCGCAGATGTGAGTTTGTGCCACGCATGCCACGCAAAACGATGGTAGATGTGAGTTTGTGCCACGCCTGCCACGCAAAGTGCCACGGCGTCACGGGCGACCAAATCAGACCAAGCGCGCCACCCACTGCCATCAGTGCCACGCCTGCCACGCAAAACGATGGTAGATGTGAGTTTGTGCCACGACTGCCACGCAAAACGATGGTAGATGTGAGTTTGTGCCACACCTGCCACGCAAAGTACCGCAGATGTGAGTTTGTGCCACGCCTGCCACGCAAAACGACTGTAGATGTGAGTTTGTGCCACACCTGCCACGCAAAGTGCCACGGCGTTTGTGCCACGACTGCCACGCAAAACGACGGTAGATGTGAGTTTGTGCCACACCTGCCACGCAAAGTGCCGCGGCGTCACGGGCGACCAAATCAGACCAAGCGCGCCACCCAGTGCCATCAGTGCCACGCCTGCCACGCAAAAACGACGGTAGATGTGATATGTGAAAGATGGTGTGGGACAAAGTTGTGTGTGAATGTGAAAGATGGTGTGTGACAAAGGTGGGTGTGAAAGATGGTGTGTGACAAAGATGGTGGTTGACAAAGTTGTGTGTGAAGGTGAAAGATGGTGTGTGACAAAGGTGGGTGTGAAAGATGGTGTGTGACAAAGTTGTATGGGAAAGATGGTGGTTGACAAAGTTGTGTGTGAAAGATAGTTGACAAAGATGGTGGTTGACAAAGTTGTATGGTGTGTGACAAAGTTGTCTGTGAAAGATGGTGGTTGACAAAGTTGGGTGTGAAAGAAGTTGTATATGAAATTGTATGTGAAAGATGGTGTGTGACAAAGTTGTGTGTGAAGGTGAAAGATGGTGTGTGACAAAGGTGGGTGTGAAAGATGGTGTGACAAAGTTGTATGGGAAAGATGGTGGTTGACAAAGTTGTGTGTGAAGGTGAAAGATGGTGTGTGACAAAGGTGGGTGTGAAAGATGGTGTGTGACAAAGTTGTATGGGAAAGATGGTGGTTGACAAAGTTGTGTGTGAAAGATAGTTGACAAAGATGGTGGTTGACAAAGTTGTATGGTGTGTGACAAAGTTGTCTGTGAAAGATGGTGGTTGACAAAGTTGGGTGTGAAACAAGGTGTGTGAGATGGTGTGTGACAAAGTTGTTGGTGTGGGAGCTGGTGTGTGACAAAGTTGTATGGGAAAGATGGTGGTTGACAAAGTTGTAAGAGAGGAGGCGGGAGGTGAGGAGGAGGAGGCACCCGGGATACAGAATCAAAAACAAGAACCCCACACAAAGTTGTGGGGGAAAAAACCCAAAGAATACTGCGCATACTTATTATACAAGCATGTTTTTAAGTATGGTTTGTACAGGCTACATTTGATATGTTGCATACATGATGCCTTAGAAGCAAAATGACTCAGATTTGGCTTGGATTAATCTTGACTAATCCTGAGGATCAAAACGTCGAAAAAAACAGAAAAAACCAACAAAACAAACAACCACAAAAAAAACACAAACACCCCTCCCCCCCACAAAAAAAAACATGCTTTCCAGACTAGCCTGAACATGGCTAGATCCAAGTAGTCCCCAAAACATTATTTGTTTGCTTGATTTCTGGTCTTTGGCTGTGGTTTCAACCAATTGAAACTGTATTTCCAATAGAAAAGGCTTGTGAATGGACAACAAAAAACAATATTACTTCAGGTCATGTAATATATTGACCAAGAAACAACACATACACATGTAATCATTATGTACAATATATGTATACATCCAAAATAATATTACATACATAATATATATAATATATACATACAAACATATTTAACCTTACAGTCTTTACCTGTGTTTTTAGTATCGCGTGCTCTTTGGCTCAATGTGGCCTGGCTGGTCCAGCTCCGCTCTCTCGATGGGCTTTGCAAAGCATCATTGCAGCACCTTTGGCATCTGGACTTCCTGCTTCCGGCCAGGACACGCTCGTGCTGAAGACCGCACTGAGACCTCATCCCGCAAACGCATGCAAACGCCACATATTGATACATATTGCAGAATGTCGCAACGGGACATAACACGCTGTAAATGCACCTTCTGGTGCCGGTAGCGCAATTAATGCCTCTATATCATTCTCTTGTGATAAACAGCTTCGGAACTCCTAAGGTAGGTTTTCAATGGTTTTCATAGGTCTTCATCGAAGTGAGCTGTATTCAGGTGTGAAACTGCATCTTGAACCGTTTCCCCTTTTTGCCTATTTTGTGCGCTGTAGGCAGATCGAAATTGGCAGGCAGACCTGGGGAGAACTCAAAGTGTTTGGGCGTTGTAAACTCCCTTGTAGAGTAGCAGGAGTTCACTAAACTGCAACTTGACTCGAACAAATCGCACTGGTGCTTGTGTCTCAACGCTGCGGAATGAAGGCTCGGCATAGTAATGCGATGGTACCTCTCCTTTTCATTCCTTTTCTGCCTTTACTTTTTGCTTCCCCCTTTTCACTTCTTTTCATTTTTTTGCTACATTTGTTTGCACTCTGTATGGGGCTTCGGATTTCAGCAACCTCTTTTTTTTACGGATCCTTTTCCTTTGACACGTTTTCATTTTATCATTTTTGTTTAGTTTTGTTTGTATCTCTGTGAAATTATGTCCTCGTTATGTTCTCGTTATGTCCTCTCTGTGGGCCCGACCGACCGGCACTCGCGGCGCTTGGCGTCCTTGTCCGGCACGATTTCGACGCAGAAAGCTCAGGTTGTTGAAGGTGCCCGACTGAACACTCAAAGGACAGTTGCAGTATGGACAGTCAAGACAATGTATGCACAAAGAATCACAAAAACACAGTCTGTGGCTTCAAACCAAACAGGTCTGTATTGATGCCGCTTGATTTATGCTACAACATGCTATAACATTCTGCAAAACAAAGCAATGACTAAGCACACTCCAGTTTGTAGTGAAAACCAAGCAGTCGGACACTTTGCAAGAAAACCTTTCAGAATCTTGCAAACCTGGGGTAAGGAGCCTTGTGCAGAGTCCTTGACACTTCCACCCATGTCTTAAGCAGTCCAGGAAGACCCTGTTGACATTTAAGGAAACCGACGTGAGAGTTCAGGGAGAAGGATCTTGTGATTGTACAATGCACAATGCAGAACGCATTTTCGCAGGAAATCATGCTGGGCCAGAAGCTTCACAGTAAATGAACAAAACAATGATATCAATGATACAAGAGATGCTCTCCAGGTATGCCAGGATGCCAGGTATGCTCGATGTGCCTAGGATGCAAACGTGAAAATAGCTGTATGATATTGTATGATGTTCTATGATGCTGTAACACGTTGTACGCTTCCAGCTCTCCCTTAAATCGAGATTGAAGCTTCCTTATTGGCAAGCTTCCCTGCCTCTGTTGTGTTCAGAATAGAAGTGCTGCGCCTCAACTCTAATCAAGGCGCTCAAAGTGCCCCATGATGCAAATGCATTTCTTCATTTCATCGTTCATCGATCTTGTGGGGTTTTTGAAACTGCTAGTTCGGTAGCGTTTTCGATGTATCTAGAGGGCTCTTACTGGAAATTTGGTCTCTCCATCAAGGATAACGCGAAATAATTTTGAGGCAAGGCGCTGCATGCTTTGGAATTGTGCGGTTGCACACCAAAGTAGACTTTCCCACGCCTAAAAGAACCCTACAAACAAGAGCCAAAAAACGGCTTTTGCAGAGAGCTGCGGGCAAAGCAGGAACAGACCAAACTCAGCACAGAGACTGCAGCAAGAGTGGGCTTTGCTCTAGGACTAGACATAAAAAACAGATCATCAAGTCTTGTGAAATATTGTGATCTGTCAATTCATGCTTTTTGAACACCCTATACTTCTGGGAGCTGCTTCATCTTTACACCACCTGATGCATCTTACAGCAACCTCAACCTCTGTATGCAGTGGGGAACGCCTGTCAGACCTGGCTGGATGTATCTGCTTACGCAGAGTCTCAACACCAATAGGAACCCATCTAAATGACTAGAGACATCAACGTGATGATTGCAGCCGTTCGTCGCATTTATGTCTTAGCTGTTGGACGACGTCGGGGGTTGGCCTCTTAAAACCAAAGTCCTCTGCAATGAAATGCCCAAACCCGAACGCCACAGCCAAGTGTGGCACCTGCACCAGGTTCACCTGAGCCCCGGGATGCAAACATGGCAAACAGCCGTCTGGAACGCAGGCAGAATGTTCTCAAAGATGCTGAGGCATTCGCTGAGGCTGGCATTCAACATGTAGGCCCGAGCATTGGATATTGGAGAGGCTGGCGTGTTCAGGTCCCTGGCAATCTCCGCTTCGAAATCCGCACAAACACAAAAAAATGCAAAACATAAGAACTATTGCAGACATTCGTCAAGGCAATTCCACAGCACTGAAGGTGCCCCCGGCTTATTAAATCAACTTGAAACTGTCTACCGAGCTACTCGTTTTGTAAGAAGTTATTTTGACGGGGAGAGTATTGTGGTTTCCCTTGGGAGTTGGAGTTTCATTCCCCTGAAAAATGCAGCAATGCAGGCACTCTTTGTCGCGAAGCGACACGAACAAGGTTGCAAGATGTTAAAGATGTCGCAAGCTGCACGCCACAAGTCTACAAAGGCAGCAAACATTACTCAAGAAATACCGGCACTTGGATTCCACGAATCACGAAAAACTGTCTCCTTGTGTCGCAGCAAATCTATACCCTTAAATGAGCCTTACATAGCATTACGATGTGCTATGGTCATCTGTTTATCTGGACCACAAGTGCTCAAAGGCCCATGCCGGCAACACAGGAGAGGGCTGAAGCGAGGCTGCACCTGTCAAAACAGGACAGAACGGTGGAATACGGTGGCTATATTTTGTAATCGCTTCAGATCCAAGTTGAGAGATCTTGCCAGAAGCGCAACCGATCCCTTCCAAAAGTCGACATCAGAAATCAAGCTCAGCAAAGCTAAACCAATACTGACAATAGTAACAATAATAAATATGACGTTTGAAATGAGCATATATGAGAGAAATTTACAATGACAATATATACGAGTGATAATGATAATACAAGGGATAATCATGGTAAACCTGATAATAATAATGATGATGATAATGATCATTAGTACTGATGTATAACAAACAATACGACACAAGATCTATATATGATCAGAATATACATAATAACAACACATGGCATGCAACCGTGAAAAAGTAATAACATATGGTACTCAAAAACAATATATATATATAATAGCAAACAATGGTAAAGACAAAAATAATGTACTAAAAAAACACACAAAAACACATACAAACAACATACGATGACAATAAAAACACATGTACAACAGTAGTAGAAATATTCAGAAACATCCGTATCAATAAATAATCATAATAAGAAAAACATCATAATATAACAATATTACCATAGGTACAACAATAACAATCATAACGCCAACGGTACAACAATAACAATACTATATAACGCCAACGATAATGATGATGACGATAAAAAACAAGAACATAAATAATAAAACAATATATTATATTATATATAATAAATATTAATAAATACAATGCACTATACACACAAAATCATACATATATAATATAAGATAAATAACTATTTGTATATTTCTATATTTATATAATAATAACAAGTGCTATATTGTGCTATCTAAATTTGAAGTTGCCTGTTTCAGGCCTCACCAGTCCCAAGCTGCGGAGCTGGAAGAGACCCCTGGAATGACTCCCAAGTCCACCAGAACATGCAGAATGAACCAACCGATCAAAACGCAACGCTTGTTGAATATTTTGAGATTTTTTGAAATATTTGGAATATAAAAGCCTCACGGTGTCGCTATTGATCTTTCACTTTGGCTTCAACTTGCTCCACTGAAAAACACGCACCCTTCACCTCAACAAAACACCTAGCAATCTAGCAGAATCTAGCACAATGTCGCGCAAGATTCACAAATATGAGGCAGCTTTGAAGCCGCTTTTTTATGCCTTTTTCCATCATCTTGCGATAAAGCTCGGAAATCGATTTGAATGACTTGTTTGCGTGAGCTGATCAGAGTCACGCGCAAAGTTCCACTTCCTCCTACAGGCGTTGCAGTCTCTTTCTCATTGCAGGTATGGCAATGACATGTCATGGGTTTTCTTATGCTCTATTGAACTCTGCAAGTAGCAAGTTTCTCTCTGCAACCTGCAGGTCAGACACCACTCAAAGCACAAAGATCAAACAAGTCTTTGCACCGCAGAAATAGGTCCAAGGATGCCCAAAGATCCCAAAGGCATTGCGACAAGCAACTACCAGTAAGACCAAGGAAAAACACCTTCGGTGCAAAGCAATGCAGCTGCTGCCAAGTGCTGCCATGTGACGTCGGAGGAAGATTCTGAAGGCGGTTCGACAAGCTTGCTCTTGACACTTTCGAGGTATTCTTGGCAGGTCGTGTAGATAAGGAGGCTAACGAAGCACACTTTGAGTTTTCTGCTCAAACATCCTAAATGCAAGAAAACCAAAAGAGGAACGCAAGGAATGCAAAGGTTGTTTGTATTTATTGCCTTCAATGATGAAATCAAATTGAAGAATTGTTGTTTGAAGAAGACACTCAGCTTCTCACCATCAAAAACTTCATCAGGTGAGTAAATCCTGCTCAGCGCTCTTGCATTTTGAGGGAATGTTTGGCAGCTTTTGCAGCACTTCCATCAACATAGAAAAATGCACGCTGGTGGATGGAACTTCGGCACAACATGGCAGGACTCTCATTCACAACAACCAATACATCTGAATAGCATTACAAGACTTAGGCATAAAGAAGAAGCGGACTGAAGCCGTTCCAACAGAAAGCAGCTTTGCAGCCTCATTTGCACGACTGCGAGATATGCCATGAAGATAGTGACAACACCTTGGTGAAATCGAGTCATTCCAAGTGTTCCCACTGGTCCGCAATTCATTCAGCTCAAGCTGCTGACCCGTATATGATGAATTGAATTCCGTTGCAATCTACTGCGAACACTACACTAGCTTGGCTTAGTCAGTCACCACAAAAGATCATCGGCGTACATACACTCTTGTCGAAGACGGGGCAACTCAGGGTTGTCCAGCCTCATTTGTCCCAGTCAAAGGAAAAAACGGACACGGTTTATATATATATATCAATTATCAATTCCATGTATAATATCACCTGTATACTGTATATATATATATAACATATAACTATAATTAATTAATTAATATTAATTATATATACATGTATAAACGTAGCAAAGCCTGGCAAAACAGAAAACGGGTACTCGAATCATCAAGCATCATGCCATCGCTGCCAGCACGATTGACTTGTCTCACATACTGAGATTCAATCTAGTCGTAAAGTTCCCCCCTCCAAGAGGGGTCTCGCTCGTTTGCACAGACACAGGAATGCCTGAGGAAGATCAGCAAATCAAAGAAGACCAAGAAGAATGAAGTGAACCAATGTGCGCTTTGTGCTGCAGAGCATGTTCATGCATTTTCATGCATTTCCTATGTTGGGCCAAAGCACTGACTTTCTTCGTTTGGATTGGGAGTAGACCAATAATGACCTGCCGAGTTGAACAGGACATCACCCAATACCACTGGGTTACCAACTGCGTTATATATAAATGTACACCATGATTTGCCACTACACAGAAAGAATATTGAAGGGTAGGAAGGTTAATTGGACACTGTCTAATCAGGTTAAAGAGGCTGTGAATGACTTCATTTCTGGAAAAAATCGGACAATCTATATACCGGAGCTGTGCAACGTATACAGAATCTTTAGCCGCTGGCATTTTCATTCCTTTCATTCCAACTCACGCCTTCAGCAACGGTAGCTGCAAATAGAGGCTTCCAACGGAACCCTTTCTCTTGAAGTGGAACTCATTGTCAGGATCTAGCTCCTGATACCTTCAAAAGTGCACCCTGAACTTGTTTGTATGCTACGGCATGCTATCTGAACCCCAAAACCCCAGGAAGTACAACCTTTTGATCCGTTGGGTTATCATTCTGATGCTCTTCTGGCAAAGGGGTGTATGGGAATCGTCAAGGTTGCAAAGACAGGCAAAAACAAGACTGACTAAACGTATCTAAACGTCATATTAGATTCGATTGATTAGATCATGTAAAACCGTCATCTCTGGTTCCACATTGGCTTCCAGATTTTGCCGAGGAAATAGAAAGTTACATTGCGTAATATTTCTTAAGTAATTACTGCGTGCCAAGGGCCTAGCACCGAGCCCTAAACCTCTCAAAATTTTGAACAGATGAACCGATAAACACTGTTTGCGGGAGAAAGCAGGACTTCTCATCACTGTCCCAGTAGGAATAGCCGCATCTCAATTCATGATTGTATGATATTGTATGCGCAACTGTGGCAGGAAGAAGCCTTTTGTATTTGTTTTCATTTTTGGTGGGAGTGAATTTGAACTCTAAGCAAGGTGTTGTTGCGGCGGAGTGGACACCTTTTGGATCATTTTGGTATATGTAAGATCATTTTGGTATATGTAAGATCATCTGCGAAATTGAGGCAGCGTTTGGCTTTCCTGTCTGCGATCTCTTTTTGCCATTTCGTACTCCACATATACGGGCCTCAAAATGTGCCCTGCGTGCAGCGTGCTTTGCTCTGGTGCATCTTTCTGGTGAACATAGATGGATGGCCACGATGCTGCTGTGCTTTCATCGTATTTTCTGGCTTTTTCTTCCTCTTGTGAGTTTTCTTTGCACAACACAGTGATCTATGTATGATATCATAATATCATATTATTTTGCTGTTTTTGTTTTGCCAATTTTCTGCGAGAAGGCTTTTTAGAAGCTGGGGGCTGGGAGTGGTCTATTGGATTGCATCCGATTTGCATCGGATTCCTCAATGCATATCCTGGCGACGGTCTGAAAACCGACATTAAATTCTAGCGACCCAGACACACGTGATGCGCAGCAGAAGAGATAATGCCTCACAAGGAATTCACCCCAGGGTCCGGAATATGGAACTCTAAGGCCCTCTCGTGAAGTGCAGCAGTGGCTGTTTTTTCACATTATTTTCATCATTGCTGCGAATCATGGAGGAATAACACGTATTAACAAGTAATTCCAAGTTGGCTAAAATGCAGCCAAAATCACTGAATCCTGCTGAGCCAATAAACGTCGAAAGAATCTGGAGAATGAGAATTGTCGTGGAGAGACCAGAACTCATGGCCTTGGATAGTCTCAACACCTCCCAAAGTTAAAACTGGTTGAAACATCCATTGACAAAGTCAGCAAATTGAAAATAAAACCAGAACACACACAATACAAACAGGACATTCTGAAACCCAATAAACTTGCCAATTCGTCGAACTATGGCGGATTCATACCGATCGAACATGTGGATTTGGCTCCACTTTTTGTTGAGTTACTTCATCTTGCACACACCAGCCATCCTGAACGGATAGTAGGACAGGATAGGACAGGACAACATGCAGCAATGTCCACATCTCACAAACCTGTATGATGATGTCTTATACAGAGTGTGGTATGCGACGAGACTACATATATGATAAAACATTATGGTACATTATTTATAATTATGTATATATATTATATATGTATATAATAATCGCAAAGCTACAGTACACACAGGCAGTATGACTCGACTTTTTGGAAGTGAAAACAAACCCGTCTGTCGCATGTCCTTCCACAAACTATTCGTGTCACAGCTCATTCCAGGACCATGCAGGACCCTTCGGATGCTTTCCTCCCATCTCCCAACCATTTCGCACGGGTCCTTGTTTTGATAGACAGGCATGGGAAATACGCTGAAGCCCACCTCTTCAGTTTAGGCAGGCGCGTTAGAGCAACATAGAGCAATCCATAGAAGGAAGGCTGTAAAAGTGACTGAGGCTTAAGTGCAATCTGTCTATTCGACAAAATTCTTGATTTATACATTTTGATTTCAGGAGCCGAACCTCTTGTTTCTCTCGCTTATCTTGCATCTGTTCTGTTTGCAGAGGTTTGGGGGCAAGCAAAGAGACTGCCACACTAAAGAGGCAAATGAATCCACATGGCAAAATCACAAAGAGCAAACAAGTTGGTATCAAAAAACAGATTTCCAGATGTTGCTAGTTTCTACGGTTTTTTTCGACATGAACTTGGCCTCACCTGCACAGCAGTTGTAATCATGTAGATCCACATAAACATCTCCACCAGATTCGTCCTTTGTCAAAGCGAAAAGGCGGCGGGGAGCATAAACTTCCAAGCAAAAAGCGAGCAGGAATCAGGGAACAGTTGACAACAATCAACAATTAATCTCCAATATGTTTGGGGATGTTTGGGGTATATGCTTGTGCTCGCGGTGTATTTGCTTGAGGACATCTCTGGAAAAATAACAACAAATAGCAACCATCATAGCACATGACGAAAGCTGAAAAAACGAGCTGCCGGGCTTTATTGTGCCAAGGAACGCTCGATGAATGTCTGAAAGAGCCAAAGAGTGAGGCTGTTTGCTGTAAACAAAACCCATCCCAGGTAGCATGTCATTCACTCCTGCGGTTCGCTGCTTGCTTTGCAATCAAAGAACATGCCAGCATTCTGTGGAATACGACTACTTTGGGTCCAAGACCAACATTCCTGTTTGCAGTGAACAAACACAAAGAAATCACCGACGACCAGAAACCATTCTTGGCTTCAAGGATCTTCGATGTGTGAGGCCAACGCGTCAGAAATGCAAGGGGGCCTGATGTTTCATATTTTCTTGCCAGATTCGGGATGTCCAGCTTTGCTGAGTCGGTTGAGCAAGCGCCGTGCGTGGCAAAGTCAACTCTCCAACCGGCTTTGAAGCGCATGCACACTCATACACTGGAGTCAGTGGAGGTACAGTATGTGGCTGGGTGAGATTGTGGAGTATTGATGCGTGGAGACACAAAATTGATGGAAGAACCACAAGAGTAAGGCTCCTCCAAGATAAGAGGGCATCCACCATTTCATTTCTGGAGTCTTCTGGAGTAAGGTCTTGGACAAATTTCCTTTGATTCCTCAAGAAACCGCAACTATCTGCATTGGATGGCACGTCCGCTAGCATTGCATCCGAATCCAACTCAACAAACATCCAAGTGCAAAGAGAAGTCATCACGCCGAACCATAAAGCCGCAAAATGATCGTTTCGCTTCTCTGAAACCTAGATGTATTATGATGTATTCAGTATCGAAAAGATCTATCAGCATCAACATATGGTAGCTAACACATGCTGAGACACCTCCTCCGAGCGCTTGTAAATAGTATTGTACTAAACCTGAGTTCAGATGATTTCAGATGAGTCAAGAGGCAAGGCACAACAGCGGCAACTTTGGCAGACTTTGACATCCAAACATGGCAGCTGTGTGTACGTGCACTGTGTGTATGGACACATTCACAAACATAGATGCATAAAAAATAAAAAACAACAATATAAATATGCTCGCTCGAATTCCAGCTTGCACTTGGGCCCGCTAACTGTAGGCACAATTTAACAGTACCCAGGGTTGTTTACTACAATTTGCACCCTTTGCTGCCTACCATGCATAAAATAGGTCCCTACAAAATGCATCGTTTTTTTTGAAGCTTTGGCGTGCGGATGTGTACGACCAAAAGCCACAGCATCGTTTTGGCGGCGTCGCACACCGTAGAAACTCAGCGCCTCAGGGCCTCACTGGCCTTTACATGCCTTTGTGGCTATGCCAGCATGCCCCCGGGCGGCAGGGGTGGGTGCCCTTTGAAACTTGACCCAATGAGCTACGAAGCCACACCCTACCGCAAAAGTAACACTTATACCTAAGTTCCAACTTTGGCGTGCGGATGTGTACGACCAAAAGCCACAGCATCGTTTTGGCGGCGTCGCACACCGTAGAAACTCAGCGCCTCAGGGCCTCACTGGCCTTTACATGCCTTTGTGGCTATGCCAGCATGCCCCAACACACTCCAAATTCACAGTTACCTTCAGCAACCTTCATGCACTTCAAACTTTGGGCCGTCAGGCACAGTTGAAACCTTTGTGGTCTGTGGCTTCTCCTTTGTGTTCTGCGGCCTTCCATCTCGCTACCCTTTGTGGTCTGTGGCCCTTAACGATCTCTATTGAAACCCAAGCCTCCACTGTGTTCTATGGCTCCTGTTTGTGTTCTATGGCTATGTGTGCTTGATTCGAACGTCAGCCATCTTCTGAGATGAATTGGCCACCGTGACGCCATCCTCCAAATATCTGTGCACTGCAGATGACGTCCAGCGGCCCATCCTCTTCACCAACTCAATGTCGGCTGTCGCCTGATACAAAGCCGTGGCCCCTCCGATGCGCAAACTGTGCGTCAGGAAACGATCTCCTGGCAAGCCGACTCCTTCTGCTGCCTTATGCAACAGGTGCTGGATCTCCAGGCGTTTCAGCACACTCCCACTTGCCCAACGGAACAGCGGCTCTCTGCTGGTCATTGCATCCTTCGCAAACCTCCTTGGCCAATAGGCCTTCATCCTCCAAAGCGCCTCAACTGGGCACAGAAACCTTCTGCCCGTAGCCTTCAAAGTCTTTGCTTCACCAAAGGCCAGTTGATCCACCTTGGTCTTTCGGAACTGCACTGTGACCTCCTCCGCCTGCGACCCAACTGCCAAACCATCTGTGGAAAACCTGACATCGCAGCCTCGCAAGATCATGTCTCGATCAACTCCGTTGGACTCGGCGAACTCCTTGCACCGTAACATGAAGAACCAGGCCGTGCTCAATGCCGCAAAGGCCATCGAAGCGTCTGCTAGCTCAGCTCTTCGTCCTTGCCTCTCAGCCTTTCCGATCAGCTCTTCGCCAAGCCATTGTAACATCTCCTGTGTCACTCCCAGCCTTCTCGGTTTCCTCGAGGTGCTCCTCCGGTCCAAACCTCCCAGAAGGATCCATACCCTGTGCATCCCTTCTGTGATGTCTCCTGCTCCTACCCTTTTGTGGGCCAACTTGATCGCGAAGATGCTCTGCCGGATCGTGTTGACCGAAGCTCCCAGCCAACCTAGGTAACCCACGTAGGCCAGCAACTTGTTCTCACGCTCCACTGCGTCCTCTGAGCGATCAAGGTACTCCGAGACCCATCCTTGACGCTTGGCCCAGGCTTTCCACTTGGACCATGCACTGGCGTATGCCTTCTCAGTTGCTGGGCTCTTGTCGCCTTGCATGTTTTCCTCCAGCCACTCCTCCACACGGTCACTCACCTCTCCGCAAAAAGGTCTGACTGTCAAGCCGACGTTCGTGATGAACTGCTTGGACACCTTCTCTGCAACCTCCTGATTGGTGAGCTTCTTACTCCTCCCACCTGCCTTCGTAGGATGCTCTGTCTCTTCCTCCTCATGGTCGGTGTCTTCGTCCATCATGGAGATCCACCACGTTTCTGTCCAGCGGTTGACCGTGTAGCTGCACTCATCCTCGCTCCACAGGCCGCCCGCTCGTCTCTCAAATTCTCCTCTGCGCCATCTCCTCAACCAAACCAGGATTTGTGCCAAAGCCTCTGGCCCTTCCTGCTCTGTGCACATACCCGCTTTTCGCACCTGCTGTTCCATGAAGGTCTCCACCAAATGGCCTCCCCATAGCAGCAGGCTTGCTGCGGTCTGTGCTCCTGTTGCTCTACTTCCTTCTGCGACCAGCTCCTCTCTCTGTGCCTTCGTACCTCTCAGCGTTCGGTCATCTCTGCCCTGGAGCTTCCAAATCTCCTCCAAGGTCAGTGCACGAACATGGCCAGGTGGTCCTCGTCTGTCAAAAACCACCATCTCCTCAATCCCTTTGCCTCCCTCCTTGAGCTTCGGCCATAGGCATGGCCCATCAAGGCTGTGGCATGTTCTTCTTTCGTCTTCCTCCTCCCAATAGTAGTGGCCTGTCGGGCACGGCAACATGCGCTCCCTTGGGATGCCACTCTCGAGCTCCAACTTCATGGGGCGCTTCCACACCAAGTCCTCCCAAGGCTTCTGTTTCAGCACCGTCCCAATTGGCAGGGGAGCCCCCACACGCACCAGTCCAGCATTCCATTCCTCTGGAAGTTCTCCTCCAGGTCGAGCCACCAGACAACGTCTCCTCCTGGCCATCGCTTCTCCAAGTTCGGTGGTCACAAACTCGATCAGCCTGCTGTCCCATCCTCTTTGTTGGCATCTCCTCTCTCCCAAGTCCCATGCCACTGCGCGCGGGCCTTCCACCAGCACCAACCAAGCTCCGACCGTCTTCGCAGCCTCCAGAACCCGTTGTAGGTGCCGTCCTTGTTCATCCATGCCCAACGACGCACACAAAATTGTAGGCTCACCGGTTTGCCCTGCCTCCAACCGTGCGCCCAACAAAATGGCCGCCTCCTCAAAATCGAGGACCCTTCTGCCCTCAGCCCTCCATTCCACCACTCGAATGCTCGGCCAGGGGATGCTCGGCTCCTTTTGCAACTGCCGGCTCATCCTCTTTTCACGCAATTGCATGAGCAACTCTCTTTCCTGATCGTCAGCCCCATATAGGAAACACGGCCCAAAACGGCGGGGGTCTTTGAGAGCCTGCGCCACTGCTGGCTTCACATCTTCCTCAACCCATCCTTTCCGGTTGAGCAGGTCAATGAACTCCTCATCAGTGCACCGAGTGATGTAGTCCGCATCAACGTTGTGATATGTCCTCCACCACCCGGCCAGCACTTGGATCTTCCACCTCATCTCCAACATGTTGATGATTCTGATGAGAATACGTCCACCCCTCACCTTGCTCTTCCTTCCCTGTAGCCAGCGCTTCACCACCATGTTGTCCCCGGCATACACCACGACCCTCCTTTGCCATTGGGGCGCCCTGGCACATGCAAAGGCCACGAAAGACAGCATCTCCGCTAGATGCACCACCACCTCTGGGCCCTCAGACTGCACCTCCGCATCCGTGAGCACTTCCAGGATCCATGGCTTCAAGCTAGCATACTTCTCCCTGAAGGCATAGCCGAACTTCCAGTCAATGGCGCCAATCACCGCCGTGGTTGCATCCGATGAGACAAAAACTGCTTCTTCCCATTGCCCGGGCAAACCCAACCTCTCCAGAGGTGGTAACATCTCTTTCAGCGAAGTCGAGAAGAGCAAGTCCCATTGGGCCGTCCTCGAACTCAGCCATCTGCAAACCTCAAAAAGCTCCCATAGATCACTCCAGGCTGTCTCCGTCTCCCACTGCTCTGAGCCATCTCCTTTGAGGTTCACCTTGACCGTTGCACTGCCATCCACTCCTTTCAAAAACTTGTCAGCCGCCTTGAGCTCGTTTCCCAACCCAGGAATGATCGCGGCCCAGCCTGTCAGGATGCCTCGAAACTGCTGCATCTCCTTCAGAGTGATGGTTTTGCTCCCATAGTCAAAGGCGTCGCCCGACATCAAAACTGCACCCTTCTGGATACGTCTTTCCGGCAGAGTGGCCTTCTCGGTGTCGGTTTCAAGGATGATGCCCCACACTGTCTGTGTTGTACGGAAGACACCTTCCACCTCGTCCTTCTCCTTGTTGACAGCCTGGGTGCCAAGCATTTTCACCACTCCGTCCTCAAAAACCTCGGCACTGACCCACGGCCGGAGTCCTACCCATGGCTCGACCAGGATGCAATCGTCAACCAGTACCTTGGCGTCAAATCCATCTGACATGTCTCGTCTACTTGTGGTGGGTCGATGCGCCCTGTGGTACTCCTCCGTAGCCCTTCCCCACATGCACCACTCTCCGGGGCTGCCGCTAAAGCCAAAGGAGGAAACCAGGTACACCACCGTGATGTCCCCTTCGACCGGGTTCTCAGGTCCGTCTTCTTGTCCCGGAAACGCCTTGTGAGGTTGCCACGGTAAATCCCCTGCGAACAGCTCCACATCAGCAGGGTCCACCCACAGCAAACGGAAAGCTCCTGAGATGTCCTTCTTCGCCATCAAAACTGGTAGCCCCGGGCATCTGTGCTTGGCCCACAAGATTCTGCGTGCCACCTGTGAATGCAAAGGCTGCAGAGCCGGCGGGTGCCAAAACTTGGACGTACCGCAGTTCACCGTCCTCTGATCATGCACCACCCTCTTGTCTCTGCTGATCGTACGGTCCGGCAACATCTTGTCCACGGCCTCGAATGGGGAAGAAACCGTCGACCCGAGCTCTGGGAGCATGCTGTCGGCCACCAAGACTCTGTGCTTCTTCACGTCCTTCGCCACTTGCTGGAAAACCTGATCCACATTCCGTTTTGCATTCGGATGCAACTTGGCTCTCACTCGGTGCCGATCTCCCACATATCGTGCAGGCATTCCAAACTTTCGCACCTGACGTAGGTAGTA